CCCCCACACAGCAAGGTAACACTCAACCCGAGACCCATTTTTCTCACTTTTTGATTTTGAAATTCGACACCACGTAGAACATCTGCATGCAGCGCCGTTTTTTTTTAAATCCCCAGTTTGCTTTTCTTCCAGCTAAATAAATTGCAGTGTTGGGTTTCAACAATAAATCATTGTTTAACCCCACAGCTGAGGGGAATGCAGGAGTTGTAGTGCCCCCCCATGATAACCTGTGTTATGAAACACTAAAAGAATGGCCCGGCCCAGATATACGTTAGAGAAAGTGTCGACGTTGTTAATAATTACCCTAACTGAATAAGAATATGGAGTCTGCTGCACAAAACGGAGCGATTACTATTATCAGGTTGATAACCAATAATTACTTAAAAAGAAACACTGCGCTCATTAAYCGGCTCCAGCAGAGAACTCAGTATAGCCCCCCTACCCCCCTCCAGAATCCCCTCCCCTCGGCTCCCCCTCGTTAGATCCCACTTTTCCTGCTTTTCATTCACGCTTCGTTTTTTTTTTCAATCACTTCCCATCCCCTCACTCAGACATCCCTCCCTTTCCTCCATCTTCTGAGTGCCGATCGCAGTCGTTTCTCATCCGTCTGCAGACATTTTTTTTTCACCAAGCAACGCCCTGTTTATTTATGTAGAGGGGCACGCCGGGGTCTCTGCCCCCCCTCCTCTCTCCCGGTCTGGAAGATTAACCATACCCTCCGCATCTTTTCTCATCTATCATCCTAATGGGCGCTACAAGTAGAGAGGAGAAAGGAAAAAAAAAAGAAAAAACAACAATTTGCTGAGGGAGAGGAAGCCACAGAAGGGCAAGGAAGGTGTCTGGGATGCCACAGTCGATCAACTTCCCCYCTTTAATTAACATGCACCGCTGTTGGGACAGGATCAGATTTCTTCCTGTCATCTGCAGCAATTTTCTAACAAACAAGAACACAGATGGAGGGAAAATAACTAAAATACCTCTAATATTTATACTTCTGTTTAAAGATGCAATTCTCCTCATCTCAGAGTTTAAATATTGTGAATTAGCATGTAGGTGTAAGGATGTGAAGATTAATGGGTACGTATGAGTTTATGGACGTATGTGTGCACAAGACCTGATGAAATCTCAAATTTATTTAAGTTTTTCTACGGAAATTACATTTGTAMCCAGGTCTGTTTCTCCCGTCGTCTTCTGGTACCATTCTGTGTATTAGTTATTTGGCTCAAGGTCACTTCATCCCTCTGCCAAATCGCACCCTGGCCCCTGTGGTCAAATTGTACCCAACGTTTTAGGTACAAGAAAAAGCTGTCTGCAACTTATACCCACATTTTTTTTTTACCAAAGGCGTTTAATAATGATTTAAAGGACCAAATTATGTGTTTCTCAGGCATACATTTAAATACTATACCATAATAAAGTATCTATGTCACCTTTAGTTATTAAAATGCTGTTTTTATGTTTAAATGGAAAGTAAACTTATCTTCTCATCACTTCCTCTCCTAAATGCTTTGAAATTGGCCTCTGTCTCTTTAAGAACCACCTTCTGCTTCTGTCCGTCCCGTTCGGTGTGTGTGGGGGGGTGGGAGGAGGGGGGTTTGCCTGTGCGCTATGATGCAGTTTATTTGGCATCTGAAAATACATTTCCTCAAAAGTATTTTTAATCTGAAAAGAGCTTCACTGAGTGAGAACTAATGTTAGGAGCTCAGCAGACAGTTAGGTTTCACTTTCAGTTTCACCTGAGAGCCTGCAGGAGTCATGGTCGGGGTGTGTGGGGTGGGGAGGTGCGCTCTGCCATGAGGAAGTTCGGCTTAAAGACACGTCCCAGAGGCATTTCTGGTACCAAAAGGTGTTTCTGGTCCCCACCTGTTGTTTTGCTCCTCAGCATGGCTTCCTAAAAACACTGCAGGATTTCTCAAACATGCATGAATGAGTCAAAGCAAGGCTTTGGGCATGTTTTATATGAGAGTATAACATTATAACATGATATAAAACTCCAAAAAGTTGATTTTACATGATATTGTCCCTTTAAGTAATTTTTTGAGAATTAGTAATTTTAGTACATTTTTTTAACATCACAAAGGATGATTGTACTGAGTACTTTAATTACGTTACATTCAGAACGTTAAAAAAGGTACTAGTGCTTTAAGATTTAACACCTTGTCGAAGTTATGTGGTACCGGTCACTTCGTATCCACCTCTGACCATTTCATACCGACAACGCCATTATAACATGATATGATGCTTAAAAAGTTTGACTTTTCACAACACCCTCCCTTTTCATAGCATTGCTTGGTGGTCCCCTAAAATACACTGAGCTRGGTTGTGTTTTCTTCGTTTTTCATACAAGCAGCTTCTGCTTTGCAAACTTGCACCACAGCATCTCTATGTGCTTAATTTATGATCCATGATTGAACAATTACCCCAATGTAGATGGTTTTACTGCAGTGTACTTTAGAAAATAACCATCTCATCACTGTCATCGAAATAGTACTTTTTATTTCACGATGTCTGTAATCCTGACTATAAAATTGTCTCTTGATCGATATCTTCCATGCATCTTATCTGAAGCGTTTCGCTCCAGGCCTTTCAGAACCGCTCCACGCAGCAGGATGGGTAAAGTATCTCCCCTCTGTTGTTTTCAGCTGGTTGTTAATTCCAATTTGTAACCAATGTTTTTGTTTTTATTGTTTGCACCATCTTTTTCTTCAAGTTGTGTTCCTATATTCTGGGCTCAGACCGTCTGGCCTCCCTAGTTTTATTAGCTTGTTGCTGAAGCTGTGATTTTTATTTTTTACAGCATCAAGCTGACATTAAAGCCAACGTGACTCATCTCTGCAGTAGTAAATGTAGCTGAATGGAAACAGACTCTGTTACATAGAGGAAAGATCACTTTGTATTCCCGTGGCCCCCCGA